AAATGTAGGTTATTTGAGTATTTTACAATATCTTTTTAGCTCTATCTCAACTATCTCAATCTTCATATATATATATACACTACTATCTTATCTAACAAGGTTTTCCTCCAGCCTTTCTTTAGCTAATAGTAGTTTTACTAACTTTAATTAGCTTTAAAATAGAAAATTAGAGGCATAATGTCATGTCAATCTTGATGCTATAGAAATTCTATCTGTTTAACTATTATATATTCATGTGATACTTTGTAAAAGTTATTTGCTTTTCTATATATGACATTAACAATAATAATAATAAAAAAAAAAAAAAAAAAAAAAAAAAAAAACTGTGCCATTCACTAAAGAAAACAAAATAAATAAAAAGTTAACATTTTCATAAATTCATTTAACTGTAGAATTTAAGTTTTTTTCGAGCTTCATTATTTTTATTTTATTTATTTTTTTTTCTAACTTTTTTTTTAATTCCTACATTTAGGTGTGAAAGTTTTTAAAAGAGAATTTTATCAATGTATTGATCTCAGTGCAACTAGTAATTATCTAGCAATTAGAACAAAAATTCAGAACATAGTCACAAATTGGCACCATTTTGCAGACAATGATACATTGATAAAGGTACTCATTCCCGTTGTAGATGCTATTGGTTGCCTTGAATCCAAAGATGCCACATTAGCTGATATTTTCAAGAAATTTGTAAGCATTCATTATACTATTTTTATAGCAAATATCTCAATTGATGAGTTGAAAAGTCATGCCTTGGCTGCTATTGATAAGCGAATGAATGAATTCTCCGATAGTATCTACTTCATGGCATTTTTTTGTCTCCAAATTATAAACAGGTTGCAATGTCGAAGCAAATGTCAAGTAATTCTATTATCAGAGCATATCTAGAATTGGCTAAAAATTGGAGGTTTGACAAAAGAAAACAACTCTTTTATTAAAAGAACTTATTAGCTACAAAAATAGTAATGCTCCTTTTGATAATCTGCAAGATGCTGAAGATATTAGATCTAGAGTTTTTTGGATACAGTTTACCAGAGATTCTCCAGTTCTTAGACGGTTTGCAATAAAAATCTTTGCCATTTTACCTCACACAGCAGCTGTCAAATATTTGTTTCTAGCCTAGAATTGGTGAAGACAAAACTACGAAATAAAATGTCACCTAGTATAACAGGAATCCTTGGAATGCTACTTCATGACCTTCAAAAAAGACTACCTGAGATAAAAAAATTTAAAGCAAAAAATAAAAATTTATTAGAAAATTTTATGAATAATAAAACTGAATACACTAATGTTGATCCTTTTTTCAAAGAGTTTGATGATGAGCTTTTACAAATTAATGTTGAAGAGGTAAGTATAAAGATGAATAATGAACTGGCAGTAGAAAAATTTTTCGATATTAGAACTTTTGAACTGAATCAAGAAGAAAAAGTTAAAAAAAATTCGAATACATATTCTCAAAGGCATATTACTAGCATTGACAAAGATTGGTCAATTGAAGATATTTTTTCCTTATCTTAGAATAAAGTCACTAAAAAATGTAAGAATTTAATAATACATATACAATTAAAAAATACTTGGTTAGTTCTAATAATAAATATAAATATTATTTAATGTTTTTAGTTTTAACAGAAAATTCAAACTTGTGAAAGGTTTTCTTATATATATACTTAAATCTCAAAAACTAAAACCGTATTAAAATATATTTATGTAATTTCAATAAGTATTCATAGTTTTGTACAATAAAATTACTATATGAATATTGTTCTATAAAATAAAAGAAATTACATACTTTTTTAAATAAAGTGTAAATTGTCAAGTAAAGTGCGATTTATTAAATTAATACATAATACTGTAATACGAATCTTCTAGTCTATTTCCATATCTGCTAAAACTGGTTTAATCATACGTATGTATGTCGAAAAGTTATGAAATTGTTGAACCAAAAAGGCTTGAAATTTCCTTAGTTGGGTCATTTTTAACAACCGGAAAAAAATTAAACAAGTTGATCTACCAAAAGAGGAATTGCCTCACTATGCTCGAAAGACCCGGGACCTCTATTTCAACTATTATTTTGGATGAGGGAACTATGTAGCAGTAGTATGTATATACGTACAAAAAATAAAACCAGTCCTACATCAGCAAAAATATATATGCATAAACTTTCGTAAGTTTTTACAGTGCATAAGAAAATTGTAAACTTACGTAAAATTTAGCGTAAAACTAGTAAATCTTACGGTGCATAAGAAAATCGTAAATTTACGTAAAAATTTTACGTAAATTTACGAGTTTCTTACGCACCG